AGTTCTACTAGCCACAGGCTACCGTAAGCCTCACTGGAGTTCTCCGTGCGATGGCCTCCTACCCGCCAGACATCCTTATGATAAATTGCGATTTCGCTTCCGTTCGTGGCTAATTGATGAGTGCCACGGAACATCCTGTTTCCACCATGTGAACGTCCGGTGTTTGGTTTGTGCAGGCGTTAATGGCACCAGCGCCTTACCGTCGAGGTCATACGGCTAGCGACCAGGCCTGCGAGCCTGGCAGGTATTAGGTACTCTCGAAAAACGATTTCTTAGTAGAAGTGGACCAAGCACTGTAAGGGGATTTTAGTGGAAATATTGTCCCCAGGGATACATCACATATCCGGCTCCAACTTAAAAGTTCAAATGCATAGCTATATCCATCTTCATCTTGGATCATTGTGACTGACCTATGTCCCTTTTTCCGATATCCGTGGTGAAGGATAGGGGTAAAGCTTCCATCGTTGATATCCCCTCCCAACGCGGTGGCATTGTGAATGGCCATACTGCTTGCACAGAGACTCACGGGGCCAGGCCAATGTGAGAGTCATTGTTTTACCTTACCAGACGTGTCCAATGTCAGTTTGCAGGCCATGAAGGGATGGAAAGCGCGTGGGAGCCGACCAGTGCGACGCTCTTGATCACGCGGATTGTGCGTGTAGTGGCTGGCGCCACCTGCTACTGCACAATCCCGCTTCCATTTCAGCTGGGTCTAGTACCACTTAAACGACATCGAGAAGATGGAGGGCTCAGTTTATTAGAATGGGGTCCGATTCCATAAAAGAGCGCCTTTTCTAATCACGATTTCTCAGAGCGTCCCTCTATGATGAACAGCAACAGAACAAGGTGGTGTTGCAATCTAGCTTGAACTTCCCCCTCCCCCGTCTGAGTATATACTTTCGAGAAACTGAACAGTTCTTCTTTTTTAGACTATACATCGCGCATGCCTGAAACCGCAAACAGGCTCATTGGAACTGGTACCCTTCTCTAATTCCTGAGATGACTTATCCCTGACATCTCCGCGTCCTCTTCCTTTCGAAATCCCAAAAGCAATGGATCGCGATATCGCTTACACGTTAGCGGGTTCAATCGACATAGAAATTAGCGTTTCATTCACCAAGAAGGCTCTGACGCCAATTGACGGAACCCATATGGGTTAGAGGCTCAGTTTGACTTGAAGAGGATTCGAAGCCTGACGATGAGTTACGCGATACGTCTCTGCTTGCTGCTACATCACTAAGACCTCGTCGTTGTGCTAAAATTCAGGTAGCAAAACAAAGAATTTTCCTACAAGGTCATTAACACAAGGAAATATTTGTGAAAAGTTGAAGTGTGAATTCGAAGGCAGTTGCCACGATAAATCCCTAAGACGAGTAGGATTAATACGCCTTGCAGGACGGACCCTGAGCAGGCGCTGCGTAGCGCCTTTTCCAAGGAAGGTGCCCTTATAAGGCCCTATCAAGCTGCAACATACCGACCCGACGCCCACCGCGCCCGCCCGCCCACAAATGGACGACCGTACCTGATGCTCGTATTGCTTCATTTGCGAAGTAAAATATGAAGCGAAGGGATTGGTATGAAGCGGCTGCGGTGCTGCATGGATATATGAGTGCATACGTGCAGCCTGTATCTACCGTAGCGGTCACTGGCAAGATGCCTACGGAAAAACTCGTCCGAAATTGCTTTTTAGTCACTGCGAACGAAGGCTTTCCTTCGCAGGTTTTCGACCGTATCACTTCGTCTTTCGCCATTTTCCCAGCGCAAGCGCTCTGCTAGCACTTTGGGTACCAAATTTTCGTGCCAGCTGCCTTTAAAAAAAGAAGTAAGACATCTGTCAACTGGAGAAAGAATAAAATGATAGAGCCGGACTATTAGTGATCCCTCTGAGCTATAAGTTATCTCTTACTGGTAAGGTGGTGATTGTTGCTATGGGAAGATGAAGCATTTTTCCTCTGTGGCACCACATTTCTCCTGAATTCTTATCCAGTAATCGACCACCGATCAGACCAGGAAGCCATCGTATTTGGGTCAATGCCTTGGAAGATTGATGCTCACTGCGCACGAATGATCCAGCTTCCGCCTGTGGGAAACCTCATTTCTCTGTCGAAAAATGGAATTCTTGCACTCATCTGCGTGTGAGCCAAGACGTAAATCCATATCAGGCTAAAATGTTTGCTCATGGCCATGTTACAGCGTCAATATTTATCTTCAAACATTTCCATGCTGCCTCTCCTCAGCCGCTCGGCGCCGTCCGTCCCCATATCTCATTACGATTGCTACCGAAACGTGCCCAGTCTTGTTTCTGAATTCCTTCTAGCTGGTTTTGCTTTCAGATTTCGTCGATTTGCTTTTAGATGGGATTTTCACAATTAATCTATCCCGTTTAATTGAGGATTCTCTTTCTTAATTGCACTGGTTCTGTCTTCTCCCATGACCTGGCAGTTATTGTTTTTGCCGCTGCGGCTGGAAATCTTTGAACGCATCAAGGGGAGAATTCTGCTAAGGGGATTGTACTTGGTGGTTCGGGAGTGAGGTCGTAAGTATGGTTGATACGTTCCGTTCTTCAGCCTTGACAAAAACAGAAACTTTCGAAGACACGAGGAGAATTTTTCTGCCGCTGACTTTTTGCGATTTGATAAGATGTGGTAACACGTTGGGAAAACTCGGGAAGACGGTTTGGAGTACGGGAAAATAGCATCGCACCAGAAAAAAGCCCCACCATCTCTCCCATCCCGCTGCCTGCTGGAAGTGCGGCTGCATAGTGTAATCAAGCACAGTGGTTCTTGAAGAAACGGCATGGTAGGCTTGGTCATGGCGACAAGTAAAATCTGGTCCTCCAGAACCCACTTTCCTCCTCCCCCCCATGCAACGCAGCCTTCGTCTTCTACGTGAGTCCAACTCCCGAATCCCGCAAACCCCCTGCTCTCACCTTCTCTTCCCTTCCAATTTCCCTGAAAGAAACTCGTGGAACGATCATGGAAGAAAAGTCTTCGGTAGAAATTTCTTTTCCGGATTGTCTACCTCATTCGTATTGACTTATCGAACTGGATCCTTTCAACATCGGGAAGGCGTCCGTGCAACCCAAATATGACCCCTTCGACGCAGATCGGCGACGGGCGGCATTTTGCACTTGCGAACTCTGAAACTCTGAAACTTGTGAACTCTTGTGAATCTGGAGCAAGCTCGTCTAGCCACCACGAAAACGTGTCAACTCAAGAAAAGGCTGTCTAGATGGGTCGACACATCGATGGGAAGCAAAATGCCCCCCCCCCCCTCCTCCGGTCGCCTAAGCGCCCCCTTCCATGTCGAGGATTCTTCATCTTCGCCGCGCTCTGATGGTAGGATGAAAAGGTGCTCCAGGTGAAAGTGCAGCGGAGCTCGCAAGGCAGTGGTGGCGGAGAAACGGTACATTACGACTGCTGTTGATTGCTTAGTTCTATAAAATATCCAGAGAAAAGAATGACTCGTGACAAAGAGGGTAAAGCCGGGCACGCTAAGCGATCACCCGAGACAATCACATGAAATCGTCCTGCGACACTACAGGCAACACACGCTGTAATTAAGGGTGTAATTCGTTGCTGGGTGCAGGTAAGGCGTCTCTGGCGTCTTTACCTCGCACTCACGTATGACCAAAGCGGTATATACTCTCTGTGTCAAGAACCTGCGCTACGCGTATACGCGCATGTATTTCAACGGTATATTTTATCGTGAAAAATATCTCTTCAGCAACACACTGGAAGCGTTGCGTGAAAGTCAAGTTGCTGGTGGAATAGCTCAAGTAGTATCTGTTGACTTGACCTCAAACTTTGCACACTTTCCTGATGATGGTTGCTTAGCAACGGAGCTTCCTCGACGAACTTCGTCGGAGCACAGCTGATGAGGGCGCGTCTGCCCTCGCACAGTTTGAGGTGCTGGGATGGATCAGGGCACTCTGTTGGAGACGATTGAAGGACTCATGCGTTGCTTGAAAGCTTCTCAAAGCTTCAGTTGTAGCTCAGCAGGAAACAAAAAGTCTGAGTTATTTGTTCTACGCGGCTGAGTGCATGTAGAACATCAGCATCAAGAACTTCAACTGGAGCCCACAAACACTGAAATTTGCCTTGTTTAGTGAATGATGGGTCTCGACAGTCTTTGCCTACAAGAAGTCAATCCACCGTTAGAGTGCCAGGATGTTTCGCCTATGCGGCCCTATGGAGTTACAAAGACGTGGGAGTTCGATGGATCGGTCATGTCATGATAGGGCGTGATGCGGCGCGATGACAGATAAAGAAGCAAGCATCTTCATCGCGTCGTATCAACGACGGTCAGATGGGAACGGTCGAGTTGGCGAGGCAGTGAAAGCCTAGAACTAGCAATGGCTTCAGGCTGCAATTGTGGGCCATGCATCGCAAAAAAACACTATCTTCAGAAGACAGTTCAGAGACACTGGCTGGGGTGCTGCTGGTTAAAAGATGATTACGCCGACGGATAGGTCACCCTGGCTGTTAACCCCTTGAATATCGTCGCAGTCTGTCGGGGCGGTGTCAGGAAGCCCTTTCCCGCAATCCTGATTGGCCCACACACACAAAGCCTCGCGAAATATGAAAATGAAGGGTTTGCTGGTGGTGCCCGCTGTTCAGGCGTAGACCATTCGTTTATATAACCGTAAGTTTTCAAAAAAATCAGAGAATGTTAACTACAGTGTTCTGCTTACCCAAACCGCGTACTTCTGAAACTCCGTGTGTAGAAATTTTCTCGGAATCTAAATCCTCAACTTTTTATGTGCTCGAGACTTTTAGAAATCATCATCACAAAATCTTCTCTGACTTACTCCTCCTTTTGAAATGCTATCCCGAATAATCAGCTAGTAGTTGACAAGAAGATTTTCAGGCAGCAATGGGAAACGCAGAAACGCCAACTCGAGTCCAAATTGCCGATCGACGTCCAACTTCTTATGGCTCAAAAGCGCGAGCTCACCATGCAGTTGGATCGAGAGCAGAACGAAAAACACGAATTGTTTTTGCAGGTACGTTCCACGAAGACAAGAAAGGTCTAGCGTCCGAGGAATTGCTGCTACCGGCATCCCCGTCCGTGCTTGATTTAGTTTCGGCCACGCTTGAAGGTATTTTGGTTGCGCGCAATGTTGTAGAGCCTGCGTGATGTACATTCCATCCACAATGAACTCCGATCGCTTTGCCTTCGCGCGGGCCGGCCCAGTTCCTTTGAGTGGGAAGGGGTTCCTGGGCAACAGCTCGCGTTACGGTTACACCCTCGTCAGAGCCTGAAAGAGCTAAGCAGACGGGATTCACCCTTTGAAGCGCCTCTGTAAAGGCGAAGACATTTTAGAGTTACTGAGCTGGCTCCTGATTGATAGAGCTGCCTCAGTTTTACGTGGTTTAGCGCCGGACGGTCACCACGGACAATAGACCACACAGGCTTTACCCTGTAGTTGATGATGCGTCGAAATCTGTCGGGGCGGTGTCAGGGGGAGCGGGGTGAGCCCCTTCACTGTTTAAGAAATACACATGGTTGTTAGTGACCGATTTGATTTGGGAAGGAAACAGTCAGTAATGAAATCGCCGCGGGTGGGCTCATTCCGTGACCCGTGGACCGCCCGACTCACTGTGACGATTATCAGGCGTGTACTGCCCTTTCCCAAAATCTGGGATCATAACCAAATAAAGCCCACCCTGTTCGTTTTAAAGTAGTTCTTTCCAGATAAATTCCATGATCGCACAGTTAGCTGAAACCCAGTCTGCTGGCGAAGTGGAAAAGTTGAAATCAGATAACAAAGAAATGAAACGGCGTTTGGATGAGCTTGAGGTTCGTACCATCAGTTTCCTCAGAGCAGATGATTGCTTCATTACGCTAGCCCTTTCAGAGTTCATCGGCAAGGGAGAGCAGTCGGTTGGAGGCCGACCTACAGAAAGCCAGGCATGACGTCGAGGTGGCAAGACATCAGAATGAACGAGAGAGACGGAAGATTCAAGAGGATTTGGACGAGACTAAAAAAGAGCTGCATATGAAGTCCGCCGCGTTACAATCACTGATGCTAGCTACACAGGTGCGTAGGCTTACCATGTTTGAAAACAATCTGCACGATAGGCGGCTGGGCGGAGAACTGAACGAAGACATCCCGTCGCTATACTACCCTCACTGGCTTCCTCGTTACCGTATTAGCAGAGAGGCTCCAGTAAGGATAGCGCAGTGACTGCGGGTCTCCGCCCATTTCCCTCATCTAGTAGATCACAGTCTCGCTCGTCACTCGAAAAAAAAAGCAAGCAATGTTTTCTTTCGAGTGCAGGTGACAGTCTGACACTAGTTAAGACTAGCCTCCTGAATATGGAGAAATTCATGAGAGGGGCGGGGCTTCTACGGAGCGGGTGGAGCTTCTCATAGTGAGCTTGCCTCCCTTAGTGGCCCGAAAATTTTAGAACAAAGGCAGAAGTGGCGGAAAAAGATACGAAAATATGCGTGGCTGTCGTGGCGGGGCTCGCAGTAGTGTTTGTCCTAACTGTCCGTTGTTAAAGAGTGTGTCCAGTTTGACCTGAAAAGTGTCCAATTTGGTTCGAAAAGTGTCCAATTTTAAATGGAACTGGTATACACAGGACAGTTCAGCGCCGCAATAAGTTGGAACTATAGTGTAGTTCGCTGCGGACGGCCAGGCAGCTGCGTTTGGCGCGTGGAGCGCTAAACGGCGTTCTACACCAGTTGGTTGAAGATGGGCAAGTTTGACAATACGTGTCATTATATTTGCTTATTACTCGGTTGGTCTACACACTTTTTTCGCATGCGCTCTTCAACAAGAAGGCAGAGAACGGCTCTGATAGGGTGACACTCATACTGGCTGACACGCCCAACCGTCCGCAGAGAATTAGAGTGTGAACCCATTTATATTGCTCCCTACTAAGGAAATGAAGCAAGCCACATCATAACATTTTTTCTTGGGAAGCAGAATTTCAAAGTGTTCAGGATAACGCAAATGCTGAACGACTCAAGGAAGAAAATCAACAACTAACCAACCTTCTCAATGATACAGAAGCAGCCTAGCAACGGCCAAACGCGATTTGGAAAAGAAAAATGCAGAGATTTCCGAGCTGATCAGGTATGCTACCTCATGCGTTTCCTATGACAATCACCTTTCGAGTGGTCTTTTTTTCGTTGGAACTTCCCCTATTTAGGTCAGCAGAAGATAGTGCTGCCTCATCAGATCAGCTGGAAATTTTTGAAAAGAAACTTAGCAATGCTGAAAAAGTGCTCCAACAAGAGATAGCCACAAAAGTAAGTTCTTTTATGAACAGCGTCTTTGCATTGCAACCAGTGATCCTCACATGAGGAAAGATTTCTTTTTTGAGAATTATTCATCTAAATGAGTTCCAAATCAGAAAAGGAGCGCATTTTATGTGTGGAGTTTGGGACATCAAAAGGGAGCCGCATCTTGCGCAGCGTTCAGACTTCGCGATGGCGCTCATCCTCATGGGTCGCAGCGCATATGAGCGTATAGACGCGCGTCAACGACGCTCCTTCATGAATGTCGTAAGATTTGCCCCTCAAATTCTGCTTATGCTGGCGTGAATGAAATTGCGCGACAATTAGTCGCTTCGAAATTTCCGCGCGGTAACCTCCCGTTTAATAACGAGTGAGATCGTATTGGTGAGACGATATACGCGAGCTGTGACGATACATAGGAACTATTCAACACGGGGCATTTTCTGGCAAGTTGATTGGGCTCACTGTAGAAGCAAAGTGTTTGGGGATTACGAGGGAACCCCAACAGATCGCTTTGGCCACTAGCGATGCTGCGCAGGCAAAGCCACTTGCAAGGATACACCACTACACACGATATTTTGACCTTCATGCTGTGCAGCGGGACCGCACCTACAGGCTTGCTCGCTGCGGATCCTGGGCTTTTTAGAGGACTAGGTTTGACGCGGCGCCTCCCCATTCTCCACCAGTTTGAGGATCTGGTAGACAATTGC